TGAAAAACAGTTGCATATAGTATGTTAAATGTTTGGAGGAAAAATGGACTCTGTCGACATGTCGAAATGAATTTTTTAATCAATTAGGAACCTTTATCACGAGATTCCGCTTGAAATTTGGCGAGAAAAAAAAAACATTTCAACCAAACGTATATGCACACATACAGTCCAAGGCTATGTATATGTACATATGTATGATCGGTGAATGTTTTATATTACGAGTGCATTCGGTCGATTTAGCTCCGTTTCGCTCTCTCGCTTTCTTCAGCACGCGCTTTGTCAAAAGATAAAACAACCAGAGATTGCATCTCGAGAAGCGACACAATGGCATAAAACTTTCGAATGGAAAAACACCAGCATGCTCCGCTCATGCACATACACACACACACACACACAGACATACACATACATTTGCGGGCCCATGCGAATGGGTGAAAAATACAGTGGGAAATCTCTTGGAAAAACTCATACTAAAACGAAAATCAGTCAAGAATTACGATGCAAAAAGTTTGTCTTCTTGAGATTTTTGCATTGACAATCCAATCGAAAAGACAACGAAAGGAGTCAGAGTGGAAAACAGAGTCTGTGAAAAGGAGAAAATACGATTTTCCATTGTTTTCGGTGCGTTTTGCGAATGTCGAAATCAAAGTGCTTCTAATGCTGAATACTTGTGCAATGTTGTTTTTATTCCGCTTCGTTGATCGCATAGTTTCTCTCTCATTTTCTTGCACATGTACACTCACACACATGCACACGCTCACGCTCGCCAAGAAAAAATGCAAAAAATCTTGACAATCACAACCAGCAAGCAGTTTAAAGTTCTTGACACTGAATTGGCTTCTGGGTGCATGTGTAGCCAGCTCATCAGGTTTGCATGAGGCGGTGAGGCAAGATTTCAGCAAATCTATTCAATGTGAATTCCAGTAAAAATCGCATAATGCCGATTTTCGTTCACAATATAGAAATGACGTTGCCTTCTCTCGTGTTTCTTTTTTTTTTCTTCCTTTCTTTCGGGCTTGTTTCATCGAATCACGGGCACTGGTGCATGTTGATGTTGGTTTTCTTAACAACGAATATTTATTTATCGTTTCCACTCTGAAAACAACGTATACATACCCAAAGTGAAATGTTACCGTATTTTTCTTCAAATTTTCTGTAAAGAATACTCTGTTCGAGGCAACAACACTCAGTAAACTGTAACGGGCCATATTCTGTCACAACATCACAAAACATGTACGGAGCGTAGGAATGCTGTAGCAAATTGAAAATGGGAAGTAAGAATAAAAACATCAGCAGTAGTCTGGAGTATGGCTGTGATGATGATGATGATGACGGTGATGATGATGATGACGACGACGACGACGACGACGACGACGACAAACAACAAAAAAAGAGCGGCCGATTTGTCGCTACAAAAGATCAAGTGTATGCTACGGTATGGACCGATAAAGCAACACAAAAATGAAGATAATAGCAAGATACGGTGGGAAATTGGAAAATGTTGTCTGTAATCAGATTTACTACATTTCATTTGCTGTGGACTTTTTTTCGGCACCAATAACAACATTGGCCATTGTTATAAAAAGGGCAAAAGGGAGACAATTTTGTTTGCCATCGTCACGGTTGTGTTTGTTTTTGGTCAATTGCTCGTGATGTATATACATTTTTTTGTTCCTGTTAAGAATGGTGTGAGAGTCGTATTCGTGTCGATCCATTGTCGGTAGAGACTATGCAAGACTATGTCTGTGTGGTGGTTGCATTGATGACACACATCAACCTCAGCTTACGGTACCGTAAAATACTATTATTCACAGCACAAAATTGATCTAAACTCAATATGTTGACGAATGTGTCTACATAAACATATACCAAGCACGATTTCTCAATGGGTTATAAGGAAAACCAATTTTCTGGATCAAGCTGCTTCTGTATTTTCGATTCAAATTCGTTCGTTCGTCCGTTCATCCGTTTATTCTTTCTGGCCCGTGTTTGTGCTTCATCTGGAAAGGCTAAACGGTTCAAAGGCTTAAACAACGAGCACAAACAAAAAAAGTCAAATACAATTCAAATGTGTGCAGTTTCACAACAATTTACCGTGAAGAAATAACACACACACACACACACACACATAGCATACATTTCCAGATGAGTGATGACCATTTTGTTCTGTTTTGTTAAGCTCTCATTTTTCCCCAAAACCCAGCAAAATGCATTTAACAAAGCATAAAGTAAATAACCATATGAAATCTTCTTAACGTGCTGCCCGGCTTCAGTTTTTGCAAAAAACAACAGCAGCAGCTGCTATGCTCTTGTACCGTCACCGTACTCCGTTTGCAATATACATACATAATTTTTTCTTGTATCATAAAATAACAAATAGATTAAACCATAGCATGAATTTACATTCTTGAAACTAGAAACCAACATGCACACACTTTCTCGCTCATTCGTTCGCTAGTTCGTTCACTTGCACGCTTATTCAGTGGTATACAAAAAGTGGTTATGCCATTTATCCCTCTCTAATGCTCGTTTGTTCTCCATTGGCCACAAAATATATTATCTCGCGAAACCAAGGTAAGAGTGAGATCGCACGATCCCGAAATCGTGCTTGTGCACTCAGTTTTTTAATAGTTGAGGTTTTTTATTCTCTGCTTTTTCCCCAATGGTTTCATGCGCATATTTTTTTTCTGCAAAAAAAAGCTTCAACTAGTTCAATAATTTGATACACACGAACAAAGCAAATTCTTCTTGTTTGAATAAACATGTGCGGTTTTTGCAAATAAAAGCAAAAAAAAACGTTTTTTTTTTTCTATCTCAAATGATTGAAAGAATGAGAATGTGGAAGAAAAGTTTTCGGCTCTTCGACTTCCCACACATTCCCGTCGCGATGCGATCATATCAAAAACCGAACGACGCATTGAAGAATGGTATGGGTTGGAAGTCGGGAGGATGAAGAGAATGTGTATGCATGAAGAATGAAAGAGAAAAAAACTGGGACAATAACACCAGTTCGATGCAAAAATACGTCGAAAACTAAACGAACAAGCGGAAAAATCACCGGATTTCATAACATTGAACACACACACACACACACACACAGAGAGAGAGAGAGAGAGAGAGAGAAAGAGAGAGAGAGAAAGAGAGAGAGAGAGAAAGAGAGAAAGAGAGAGAAAACACGTACACACTCAGTAACGAAATCAAACTAACTAACTTATATGAATGCGAATATATATATTTTTTTTCCCCTGCGTTGTGGTTGTAATCGTTCTGCTCTCAGTTCACCCTCCGGTTATTTTAACCATTCGCATTATTAGTACTTTCATCTGTTTACGTTGAGAACAAAATAAATATTTCTCTGGGAAAAAAGCTAGTTTTCCACTTTCATTTTGAATGAAAAAAACACTCCATTTTGGTAGTGTTTTCTGGTATTTACCTGATCTACGTCATTATTTTAGAAAACAATAAGCACCTTTCGTTTCGTTTTATTTTATTTGGCTTTGATGTTTGGTGGTGGCTTTGGTACGATTCGGCGTTTATTGTATACGTACTGATGGTGATGGCGATCGTTTGCCGTGACTTCAGCCACTGATGCTGAAACAACAAAATTGTAAACAAATGAAAAACGAACAACAACAAAAAACGAGATGGAATTTAATATGAAAATCAATATCATAGTTTTATTCGTTTTAAATTTGAGATTTTGTGTGCAAATAAACTCATATGTAGAAGTCAGAAAGAGATAAAGCAAGAGAGAGAGAGAGTAAAAGAAGTAAAGATCTAGCAAACGCATCCTCCGATTTAATCTCAACAAAATATAATTAAATTAGCTCCCAGCACACGCCATTTCTCCAAATTCACCAGATTCTAGAATATCTAGGGATCGCAATGTGTTAAAGTGCCAACGAAAAGTTTTGCGATAAGTCTGCTATCATGCATATGTGCAGTTTTATTTGTTGGTATACGCAAACAAGACGTGCAACAAGACAAAAAAACGCGCTGTAGAATTGAAAAGATAAAATGAGACGAAGTGAGGAAAAGAAGTCAGAGGAGAGAGTAAAAGAGATGGAACGGAAAGGAATTTTTTTGCTTTTGAAGCGATATTATGGCATTCACATGCTTTTAGCATGCTGCTATTGACAACGGTTAATGCTAATGGTCAAATTTAAAACTATAACAATTGCGATATGCCGTTCGTCCTCTGCCGTTGCACCCGATAACAACAGCGGAACATTTTTCTCGTTTTTACAATGAAAAAAAAAAACACACGTCCGTGCAAAAATGAGAGCAAAAAGGGAAAACCGAAACAAAGAATCACACTGATGATGATGATAATAGCAATAATAATGTTTTTAGTTGCTTTATTTGTGGTCTTTTACCAAACAAAGGGGATAAAAGAGATTTTGCAAACGCTGAGTAACTCGAACCAATCAGCAAACAAAACAACGCTGACAGCAAAATGGAAAAGACCAGTGAGACGACAATAGCAACAACAAATGCAAACAGACATCGGAAACGCTCACACATAATGACGTATTTTTATTGTTTCGACCTTATTGGACGAAAATTAAATAGCTTGATCCGTCGTGGCATCAGCACCTCTAGCACCAAATTCCAATGAAACTGTAGACATTCGCTTATTTAGTTTTATTTTCCTGCGTATTTTTGCCTTTTCGATTTTATTGTGAAGCATAGATCTCGGGACATTAGTGTCATATATACATGTGAAGCAAATAACATACACATTTTCAGCTTGAGCGGGAGTCATTCCGAAATAATCCTTTCATAATTGAGTTTTTCTGCATCATTGAACATTTATTATGTATGGAAGCGAAATCTATGCCAAATACAAAACAAAAAAAGCTCTCGCTCTCTCTATCTATCTCTGTCTGTCTTTCTTTTTTCTTCTAACAATCCATTTTCGTTAGCATTTCGAATGTACAATTAAACATACACACATATACAGCTTACCAAATTCATTGTAATTTTTGGTATAATTTCAGAGACACTTAGTTTTAATGAGCCACACACACCAGCGTCTTCGAACAACAGTAGTAAAATCACAGCGGCAGCAGCAGTAGCAGCCACGACGATGAGTAGCAGCATTATGACAACCACTGATATCGAGTCACCGTATTTCGATTTTGAACTGCAACGTAATGTAACCGTGACAGTTGGTCAGACAGGGTTTTTGCATTGTCGTGTCGAGCGACTTGGAGATAAGGATGTAAGTACATGATTACAGTACTTTGTGCGATTGTTTGCCTTTATTTTTGTCGCCCATCTAAGTCATCCGCATTTTACTGAAACCAACAAGGACTCTCGCAATTGCCTAAAAGAGTTAGATTGCTGGTGACTGCGAAAAACAGAAGCGCACACAACGATAGTTGAAATGAAATGGAATGGGATGAGAATGAGAGCGCAATGCATATCTATGGGTGAGATTGAGAGTATTGTATGTTTCATTGACTTTGTTACGAAAGAGAAGAGCAAGTTTCTGTCGACTTAAAAATGGTTAAAAGCGAGTATGTTCGTTTTTAGCGGGTCCTCGCAGTTTTTCACGGTTTCCATGGAACTGATATGAGATAACAACTTGGTGTCTTCGGTAAAGTTGTAGCATTCGAGGTCTTCTATAACATTGCTGAAGTCAGCTATCTCTTATCTCTTATCAGTTCCGCGAAAAGCGCGAAAAATGATAAGAAAAAAAAAGTTCTATATAAAATTTGCTTTTTTATGTGCGCGATTTGCGCGCAACTGATAAGAGATAACTGTCTTCAGCTTAGTTATAGAAGACCTCGAGTACTACAACTTTGCCGAAGACACTATGTTGTTATCTTTTATCAGTTTCGCGAAAACTATGAAGACCGCGGAGGCTAGACGGTACTACAACATACTCTACTTTAACGCCAACAGAATCATCAGAAAACATACTCGCCTTTTCAAAAATATAAATCGAAGAAAAAACATACTTCACTCTCAATCTCACCCATAGATATGTGCTATTTAATATTTAAGTAATTTGTTTGTTTGTAGCCGCAAATAAAATTCACTGCGACAGATAGCAGGCAACGATATCAATAACGAATAACCATCAGCGTACGAATGTATCAAAGGCATATGTTTGAATCTCATTACATTCATAACCAGTTCTCAGCTGTTCCAATTTAATCGCAAATCATTTCAAATGGTATCGTTCGGCTCACAAGTGCTTGGATCTCGCATATGCATACTTCTCCCAGTTTGTGCTCATTTGTATATTTTATTACGTTCGTTGTAATGTGTGCAGATTTTTGCTTCTTCCGCAGTCGTGTACATTGTTATTTATTTTGTTGGATATTGTTATTCGCTTCAATTTTGACGATATACCACTTTCTCACTCTCTCCCTCCCTCTCTCTCTCTCTCTCTCCTCTCTCTCTCTCCTCTCTCTCTCTCCTCTCCCTCAATCCCTGTAAGAAGTGGAACGCGTTGACAATAAAATACATTATGTATGCAGCTAGAGCTTTTGTATGGCATCAACATTTCGTTGAATCAACAACCTCAATTGCGAAATAATCAATTGCACAAAGTTGGTTGCAAGTTTCGCAGAAGTACAATTACAACTTGCCATTTTCGTCACACATTCGCTCACTCACTCTCATCGCATCTGTGCAATATAAACCACCAAATTCTTGGCAGATTTAAATCCGCACGCTTTAATTATTACTGATTTCGTTTTAATTACTCTGAACAATCACACAACAACATAATAAAATGTAAACAAGTCAAAATTTATGCAAATTGAAAAAGAAAAGAAAAAACAAATGCAAAGAGAGTTTCATCATTGTTCAAAAAATTTACCATTTAAATCATAGTTGTGGTGAATGCGTCATTCAATCGATTCTTCCAAACTGGACCAGTGTCAACCGCAAAGTGATTATGTGCTGTTGAACGATTGCATGATAGTATTTTGGGATTATATAAACCGGATATGATTCACGACCGCAATCACTTCCATCGAGAGAGAGAGAGAGAGAGAGAGAGAGAGAGAGAGAGAGAGAGAGAGAGAAAGATGTGCTGTTGCTGGTTTTCGAGCTGGAGCGACAGTACTATCACCTCTTATCGTTTTCCGTTTGAGCTTTACTGCAAATAAACCGAAAATGTATTTTATGTATTCCCCAAAACCGAATGTGTGCGGTCCCCGTCCGGTCGGGCATCTAATCAGATTAGCAATAGCATCCAAATTGTGATGGCAAAAGGTCATAAATAGTGTTTTCACCTTCTGGAATACCTCAACTCCTATCTAATTGGTTAATTTGCGTCGTAATTTTTCATCACATAAACAAATTTAATTGTACGATCGTTCGTCATACTCATATTTCACCGTTGATGATGTAGCCAAAGATTTTGATTTTAATGTTTGGTTTGCCATGATCGAAAATACCACATTTAAATTGCAATTATATATTATCACATTTCCCCAACTGCATCGCATGTTTGAGCGGTAGCTGCTATTTTTATTCCATATTTTTGGCCCTCTTCCTATGGGAATGGTATGACAAATGGTAGAAATGTTTGGGCACAATGTTTCGATAATGACGAACGACCGCTTATTGCAATGACCACACATATTGAAGATGAAGGATTCAAGCTTTTGACCTGTTATTGCCATCGTTGAAGTAGCCGTGTATGTGTGTGTGTGTGTAGATATTTGTGAAAGGCTTGTGAAATGGATTCCTTTGCATGTAAAATCAGGTAATAAATTTGAAAATAAGTTGAAATCTACACTGTGCATCGAAAATATAACAGACATACGGAAGATAGGAAATATGCTTATTTTACATGAAAATGATATGCTGCATTCGAAATGGTGAATGGTAAATTCAGTGTTTTTTGACTGACCTAATTGTGGCCCATTCAAAATTTGACCGTAAGTGCAATTCTTTTAACGAATCCGACGGTTGGTACAGCGACGGAAATAATACGTTCAAACATACTTCTGATCGGTACTGTACGTTGCGATGATTTCGTCTTCGTTACCAACACAGGAGTGCTAGTTTCATTATTGCACAGACGAGCATTGGATAGTAGCATCTCATATATTTGGTATTATTATTTATGTGCTTACATCTCTCGCTCCCTTTTCTTCTGTCTCTATACATTTATGATGGGATTGCCTGGGCTAGATGTGCAAAATTATTTTATTCATAGAATTTATTATGATATGGTGCAAATCATCATCATTGACTCTTTGCCCCGAAAATTCGTTCACTTTTGGTTTTGGCACGATAGACCCACTTGTTTTTCCCTCTATCTAAAGGAATGTAACGAGAAAAGAGCAACGAAAAAAAAAATCAACAGAAAAATCGTTATGAGTTGACATCGATGTCATCTCTTAGGCCAATAAAAGTCAATAAAAAATTCAATTTTTTTTTTGATTCTAACAATGATTTTCACACAAATATTGGGTCAATTCGAAAGTTTCCGCCGTTTTTTTGTTCTCTAAAAATACATTTATTGCAAAATAAATTGAAAATGTACATTAACCAATGTATTCGCCATCGTTAGCTATGACTTCCCGCCATCTTTCTGGCAGCTTGTGGATTCCTCGCTTGAAGAAGTCCTCGTCTTTTGAGGTTATGTAGTCATCAACCCATTTTCGCACTTCTTCCTCATTTTGAAAGCGTACTTCAGACAGGGCAATCTGCATCGATCGAAATAGATAGTAGTCGCAAGGAGCAAGGTCTGGAGAGTACGCGGGCTGATCAAGCCGATCCCAACCGAGCTGCTCTACCTCATTTTTAACGATTGTTGCACGATGTGGCTTAGCGTTGTCATCGTGGAACAAAACTTTGTGGTGTTTTCGGGCTATTAATGGCCGTTTTTCATCCAATGCATGAGCCAAATCATTCAATTAGCGTCGATAGCGTTCCTTATTAATCGTTTGATCTGGTTTTAGCAGCTCATAATACACGACTCCTTTCATATCCCACCAGATGCACAGCATAACCTTATCGCAATGAATATCTCGTTTTGGCTGGGATGGCGCCGGTTGGCCGGGATCAACATACGCTACTTTACGCTTGGGGTTTTCGTAATGAACCCACTTTTCATCGCCGGTAACAATGCGATACAAAAAACTGTTTCTTTTGTGCTCTGCAAGATGTTTTGTGCATATTGCGATTCGTGCTTGAAGTTGCTCTTCAGACAGTTGATGTGGAACCCATTTTCCCAGCTTCCGAATCTTTCCCATGGCATGCAAATGTCTGAAAATGGTTGTTTGGCCGACGTTTAACTGCAATGCAAGTTCTTTTTGCGTTTGGGTTGGGTCTTCATCCAATAATGCTTGCAAATCGACATCTTCAATCGCTTCTGGCCGACCTGAACGTTGTTTGTCTTTCAAGTCAAAATCACCACTTTTGAATCGATGAAACCATTCTCTGCAGCTTCGTTCCGATGGAGCTTGCTCGCCATAAGTACCTGACAGCATTCGATGAGCTTCAGCGGCAGTTTTCTTCGAATCAAATAAGAAAAGAAGGGCCCCTCGAAAAAACACCTTATCACGATCCATTTTCAATCGATTCAAAAACAATGACGCAGAACGAAAAATGAATCTTTCTGCTCTGAGTTAGATTGCTAAATGTCACATCTACAAAATGCAATTGGATTCACTTGTCAAGCTACGCTCAGTTACAAGTGGCGACATTTAAATGTCAGCGGCGGAAACTTTCGAATTGACCCAATATATTAACAGAGATACACACATATTTGACGTTTCCGACCTGTCAAATTTCGATAACTGTCAAATTTTCGCTATAGATCGTAGAGAAAATTGCACCAGATCCGAACTTACAAAAATGATATTATGTCGATGGATAATAACTTCCTTCTTAATTGAACGAAAAAAATCAACGCGCTCATTGATGCATATACGGGAAGAAAAATCGTGTTTTCGTGTAAAATATGGCCTTTGGATTGGGTGGGTGGGTAATTTTTGATTGAAATGTAGATCTTCAACGATTAGAAGCGCAAAAGTAAGTTTTCCACATTTTCGACATAGCACTGTGTTCCAAAGTGCCCTCCACATATTTCCGACACATGCGTTTTCTTTCTAAATAACGATCGAATGACATGCATTTGCGAATGGAATAAATTTCCCCCAGAGTGTCACATTCCGTTGATGGAATCTCATATCATGTCATGTGCCATTCGATTCAATGGACCACCATTGCAAAGTGCAAATCGGTTGA